GGGGGTGCTCTCGGAGCCGGGGAGGAGGGGGTAGGGGTGCTGAGTACTTCCTGAGACGTCCTGAAGAACAGTGGGTTCTGGAGGCTCAGGAAGCGTCCCGGGGAGGGGACCTTTGAATGCTTTCGGGGGAGAGGGGGCTTGCACGGCCTTTGAACGGACCGTCCCTTCCATAGCGTGAATGTATCTGGGGGATCTGGGGCCCTTGGGGAGAAAGGAGGGAAGACCTGGGGCAGAGACATGAGATGTTCTTGGAGAGAGAAAATCCTCAGTGAAGAGGGGAGTGCAGGCAGGACCTTCGCTGGAGGGAGGATGCCTGTGATTCTCCAGGGAGGCTGTACCAGAGCAGTTTGGGAGGAGAGCCCTGGCCTGAGCTGGGTGGGACAGGGCTTTGGGCTGGGGACTCTCTCCCAGCTCCTCTGGCTGCCCTGGCCTTTTGTTTCCCTGGGAACCAACGGGCTCTGCTGTCCAGGTACCCCTCCCTGGCACCCACCCCTGGCTCATGCCTCCTTTGCCAGCCCTTCCTTGAATGCCCTTCGTCCTCCACGCAGATCTGCCTCTGGACCTGCCAGAGGTTCAGGGCACGCATTCTGGGGAGGAGAGGATGGAGGGTCAGAGAGAAGAATAAAAACAGAATGAAAGGGGCGTGAGGAGAGGGGAAGTTGGTGATGGTCAGCCTCTTCCTCTGTTTGTGAAGTCACTGACTTCACTGGCCGGCAGCCTGGCTGGTCCCCAGCCTAGTCCCTGGAGATCCCAGGCCTTCACAGCAGGAAGGAACCACCATTGTTTATGAATTAGCCAGAGAGCCTCTCCTGCTCCCTGCTCCCTGCTCCCTGCTCTCCCTGCCAAGGCCTGGGTGGGGCCTCCAGCCCTTGACTCCCCCTTTGTAAGGCCAGACCATTAACGACTCTCTGGCCCTCTCAGCTCAGCTTATGACCACGTGCGCAAGACTCGGGTGGCCATCAAGAAGATCAGCCCCTTTGAGCATCAGACCTACTGCCAGCGCACGCTGAGGGAGATCCAGATCTTGCTGCGTTTCCGCCATGAGAATGTCATTGGCATCAGAGACATCCTGCGAGCACCCACCCTAGAAGCCATGAGGGACGTGTATCCTTCACCTCTACCAGCTGGCTGGCCAGGCTTGGCCTCAGAGCTGGGCTGGGGGCGATACTGACATTCTTTCTGTTTCCTTCTTCACTCCTCCTCTATCAACACTCCTCCCCTCCCCCCCCCCAAAAAAAAGAAACTTTCCAGCCTGAGAGGCAACAGATTGTAAGCAGCCTGGGTCTCCTTGAATCCTGGCCGGCTGCAGACAGGCTGTGTAGCCCTGGGCTAGTCCCATCTTTGCTCTGTGCCACAGTGTGGGGGCTGGGTGAGATCACGTCTATGGGAGCTTTGTCTTCCGACATCTGCAGTTTTGTGACAGGACCCACAGCCTCTGCCCACAGTCGGGCCTTGCTTAACAGACTGATGATTCTTTCCTCTGCGGGCCCCAGACTAGAAGGAAAGCCGAAAATAGCCTTTTCTTGAGGGCCTACTATGTGGCCAGTCATGCCTGCCAAGGGCTTGAATGCTTCCTAGTCTCCCATCTGCACCATGAGATGGGCCTCCTCGGCTCCATTTCAGTGATGAGCAAACTCACAGTCATTTCTGTTGAGTTGGAACTGACACATAACTGACCCTGCAGCAGGTTTTCAGAGCCCGTGAATCACACGGGAGGAGAAGGTGTGTCTTTCTCCCTCAGAGAAGCTGGTGTAATCGAACTTCCTCCCTTTGGGTTGGCAGTACAACTCCTTACCCATTCAGCCGCCAGTACTGCCTGATGAGGGAACAGAGACTCAGAAAGTCTAAACTCAAGTGCTGCTGTTGTTGCCTCCTCCCCTCCCCTAAATAAGAACCTGCTCTTCTCCTCTAGAACTTTTCATTTCAGAGCACACCCCAGTCACCTTGGTACTTGAACCTTGCCCAGGGAGGGACGATCTATCTTACCCTATTATGACTGTCTTTGTTGTCCACTTCCTGATGGGTTGTGCTCTCAAGTTTATGATGCTCATCATGCCGTTGTCCACCCAATGGTGGGGACTTGCACTGCAGTCATCTGCCACCTTCACCGTCAACTTGACCAGTACACTCTGTGCTTACCCTTGGGTTACTATGTGACCTACCACTCGCTGCCTCTCCCTGGGTGGTGCCTCACTGTTACAGTGCAAAGTTGGTTCAGGTGTCCTCAGAAGGCCCTTCTGGGGCTGTTTCTCAAAGACATCTCATACTTATTTCTTCAGAGAGAAGTCCAGAGGCATTTATTCAGTGGCTTTGTCATACTCATTTTAATCTTCAAAATGCAAATGTACACTTACTCCTCAATCTCCTGACACATGGCCAACGACGATGCTTCTTTGAGTAGGAGTGTACTGTTGGAAATACCGCCTTATTCTTTGTGCACAGATCAATCCCAGAAGGCAGGCATTTAAAAATAAGCAAATATTTATTGCATGCCAGATGGTGTTCATACATTATCTCACTTAACCCTCTTAACAGCCAGGTGGCACAGACACTTATAATGGCAATAATGGTTGTTGTTTGCTGCGTACGTACGACGCATCAGACACCAGACCGGGCTGGCTGCCCTATGCGAGTCCTTCCATCCCATTCTCACAGTCCTCTTGGAAGAACAGTTCTTTCCCCCCATTTACAGATGAAGAGATAGAAGTAGTGACAGGTCCCAGAGCCAATGAGTAGTGGACTTGTTATGTCCTGTTGAGTCAAAAGTGACCACATAGCTGACCCACCATTGGGTTTTCAGAGGCTGTAAATCACATGGGAGGAGATTGCCTATCTTCCTTCCTCAGAGTCGTTAGTGGGTTGGCAGCAAAACTCCTTACCGCTAAGCCACTAGAGCTCCTTGTTTACCATCAAGTCAGAAGTGTCTTGTGGCTGACCCTTCAGCAGGTTTTCGGAGGTGGTAAATCACATGAGACAGAAGAGATTGCTTCTCTTTTTTTGCGTGGAGCAATTGGTGGATCCAAACTATGTATCGTTAGGTTGGCAGCACAACCGCTTTACCACTAGGCCACCAGAGTTCCTTAGGGATCTCAAATTTGGTTGGTGTGTTAATGCCAAAGGTGATTCTCTTAACTCTGAGGGAACCAGAGCCATGGGATCGAAGTGTGTGGCTCAGGAAGGGCAGGTTGTGAAGGGCTTCACTGTTGAGTGGGAAAGAGCCTTGTGTGGCTGATGCTTTGGGTAAGTCGGAATCCAAAGGGCTCCCACTGGAGGGTACGTGCATTCTAAGTCACCAGGGCTTGTTCTCCTTAACCCAGTGCCTCTCGCCACCCGGCCCGGGGTGGGGATCTCTGGTGCCCCCTCAGCTACATTGTGCAGGACCTCATGGAGACAGATCTGTACAAGTTGCTCAAAAGTCAACAGCTGAGCAATGACCACATCTGCTACTTCCTCTACCAGATTCTGCGGGGCCTCAAGTACATCCACTCGGCCAACGTGCTCCACCGAGACCTAAAGCCCTCCAACCTGCTCATCAACACCACCTGTGACCTTAAGGTCAGGGGTGAGGGTGCTCCTCTCCTCTTCCTGAGGCTTTTAGGGGGCCTGGTAGGCTAGAGCCATCCTCTTCTGTCCGTGTTTGGTTTCTTCACCTCCCTCAGGCGTACAGTTACCTTTCTCAAAGGTCTTGGCCCCCTAAGGTCCTGGTGGGCTGGGAGACAGATTTTTCCGTAGCCCACAGAAGAATTTCAAACTGACAGTTGGGAAACGAGTGGCATGGCCTCAGGAGTGAGCTCCCTGTTTCCGGCCTGGCAAAGGCTCTAGGAACTTCCTGGGGGCAAAGGGTATCAGGGAAAGCTTCCTGGAGGAAGTAGGATAGACAGGCATTGTGAAAGCAGTCTATTTACTATGTATGCAAGGGGGCCCCCTCGGTGGATGAAAGGAGGCTGAGAGTGTTCCTGCTTCCTTCTCACAGAGTAGTCTGCTCTGCCAAGGGCAGGACAGTGCCCACCAGTGGAAAGGGGAGTCTTCCTAATTGGCACAGAGACACAATGTCAGTCAGCAGAAGCTTTTTGTAGGGGAACAGTATGAACAAAGACTTGGTGATATGATTGCGTGATCCATGGAGGCCTGAGCACCACGCTCAGCAGCCTGTGTTTGATTTCAGGTCTGTGATTTCGGCCTGGCCAGGATTGCTGACCCTGAGCATGACCACACTGGCTTCCTGACTGAGTACGTGGCTACACGCTGGTACCGGGCACCAGAGATCATGCTCAACTCCAAGGTAGGGGAGCTGCCCACTGCTCCAGGCAGAGGGCCAAGCTCCAGGAGTCCCTGGGTGACCTCCAGGCTAGGCACTGACCCCCGTGATGCAGGTAGCCCACCCCTGGGGCTTGCCACATCACTTTCTCCCTCTCTTCAGGGCTACACCAAGTCTATCGACATCTGGTCCGTGGGCTGCATCCTGGCTGAGATGCTCTCTAACCGGCCCATCTTCCCCGGCAAGCACTACCTGGACCAGCTCAACCACATTCTGAGTGAGGGGGACTATCGCGGGGGCGGGCATTGGTTTATCAGAAATGAAAGTTCCTTAGTGCTGGCTTAGCTGTAGGTTTGACACAAGGCAAGGCCCTGTATCATCTCACAGTATGTCATTGAGAAATAGTGTTTCTGTTCGGGTTGGCCGTGCAACTGCTGCTGACTACCAAGCTGCCAGAGCTCCCGTGAGCGTTCCCATTTGGTTGGTGGGAAAGGCACAGCTAAGCCCAATGCTCCGGGTATTCCTAATGCAGACCTGCTGCATTTCATCACCTGGGGAGATGGCAGAGGGCCTGGGGCAAACCCTGGAGATAGGAAAAGGGCTTGTTCCTGTCCTCTTTCCTGTTCCACTCCCAGAAGGGGAGAAAAGCTCTCAGCAATGTGCCTTACCCACAGGTATTCTGGGCTCCCCATCCCAGGAAGACCTGAACTGTATCATCAACATGAAGGCCCGCAACTACCTGCAGTCTTTGCCGGCCAAGACCAAGGTGGCCTGGACCAAGCTTTTCCCCAAGTCAGACCCCAAAGGTGAAAGAGCCCTGGGGACTGGAGTGAGATGAACACTGAGGGTAGAGTGAGGGGCGCCCGGCCGCTGTCTGAGTAGCCAGGCTCCTGGGAACTCCTCAGACATTCCCTTTGACCCTGACTCCTGCTCTTCCCCAGCCCTTGACCTGCTGGACCGGATGCTGACCTTTAACCCCAACAAACGGATCACGGTGGAGGAGGCACTGGCCCACCCCTACCTGGAGCAGTACTACGACCCCACGGATGAGGCGAGTCAGATGCCGTTAGCGAGGCTGGGGGGGTCACGCAGGTACCCTCAAGGACTAGCCTAAGCCCTTGCTGTCTTTGGCTCCACAGCCCGTGGCCGAGGAGCCCTTCACCTTTGACATGGAACTGGATGATCTGCCCAAGGAGCGGCTGAAAGAGCTCATCTTCCAGGAGACGGCTCGCTTCCAGCCTGGGGCACTGGAGGCCACCTAACTATGGTGGATGCCCCTGCTTCCAAGGGCTTGGTAAGTGCTCCCCACCACCGATGGCCAAGTTACCCTAATACCAACTGGTGTCCACCCTGCCTGCATATGGTCTCACACTAGTGATCTGCTTGTATGATGGCAAGAGATGGTCCCAGGGGCTGTCTGTGCCTCACAACTGTGGTCTGTCCCAAATGTCTCCCTGTTAACTCTCCCTCCTCCAGCCCCAGGAGCCATTCCAGGCCCCAAGAGGTTATTGTGGGCTCTTTCACCAACTGCGCAATAGGACCCAGCCCTGACTCTCCATGTGGGCAGGGAGGTGGGTGGGGCAGTGATTGCTTTGGGAGGAACCCAGCAGCACCCTGTCTGACCCAGATGCCAGGCCCGCTCACACCTAGTGCTCAGGCCCATGGTTTGAACACCTTGGGGAAACCTGCTGGGCCCGCCGTCCCTCCACCGCATTTTTCCTCGCACTGGTCTCCTTCCTGCCTTTCACCAGCTGAGGCAAGTAGAAAGAAGGCAGACAGACCTGGGTCCCTGGCTCTGCCATTTACGAGCCTGCATGATCTGAGAGAGACACCTCTCTTTCCTGTGCCTCAGTTGCCTGGAGCCCATTCTATAAAAAGAGCAAAGCTTTCAGAGTATTATGCACTGTTTTAAGAGGTTTCTATGTGCTGGTTTCTTTCATTCTCAACAGCAACATCTTGAAATCAGTTCTGTAAGCCCCATTTTACAGATGAGGAAACTGAGATTCAGGGAGGCTGAATACCTATCCAGCTGTGAGGAAACAATGGGTGAAATCGAGGTCAGGTCTGTGGCCCATCATCTCACTGGTCCTAATGGTTTCTTTCTCACCTGCCTTTTCCTTTAGGCCCTGCCTCCTGCCTGCCCCTCTCCTGGATTGTTAGCAAACGGACACTGTACCCAGCCCTGACCCTGGCAGCTCTGTCCAGGGCAGAGGGTGGGCCTGGCCACCTTCTCTCCCTTGTGCTGAGAGCTTCCTGCTTCTGGCAGGCCAACACCTTTCTCTCTCCCTCCCTCCAGGCTCTGGGGGGCTCAAGTGACCCCACAGCAAACCTTTTCCCCACTTGTTCTGCCTGCATCTATCCTGGCATCCTAGTCTCTGGTAGTTCTGAGTGCCCCTCCTGAACTTGTTGGGAGGGGTGCCAGGGTGGGCCAGGGCACTGAGGAGGGACTCTAGGCTAGCCTTGGCTTCACCTCATTAAAACCCCACCCATTTTCCCCAAAGGAACATTCCTAAGTCTCAAGGGCTAGTATCCCTGAGGAGCAGGGCCCAGACCCAAGCCCCTGAGCCCCAAAAAAGCTGCCACATTTAATGCCCTGCTGCTTCTGTGTGTGGGTGATGAGAGGTGGAGGTGGGGGGCACGTGGCGAGCCCAGTGCCCACTGCTCACCTCCCTGTGCCTGTATCTAATATATAAATATAGAGATGTCACATGGATGACTCTGGCTCTGTCTGTGTCCGCCGATGCTCCTGACACCAGTAACAGTGCTGCTTCAAGGCCTCACCTCAACAGCCCAGCCCCTTCTTGGCTGTGATTTCCTCCACCTTTGATGACCTTGGGTGGCCCGCTGACCCCCACTCAGCTGACCAGTTTTAAAGGGTTCCAGATCCTTGGAAAAAGTGGGGCCCATTTCCCCCCTTGGTCATTACCTTCCCACTCGCTCTCCAGCGACTTCTTATCTTACTGGGTCTGAGTGATGTGGGGGTGACTCAGGTCTCCACACCTCCAGATTCTTGGAAGTGGCAGGTGCGCTGTGCTTCCTGTGCCTTTGGGCCCTGGTGGGGGAGAGAAGACCATGGATTTGGTCAGGATCTACTTTACGCCCCTGGTGTGGCGGAGCATAGTGGGGTGCTGATGCTGAGGACAGGGTCCACAGGAGGAAGACCAGGGCTGCCTCCACGCTCGCCTCTCCTCCAGCCCCAGCGCGGCCTGCAGCTTGGCCTGGAGCCAGCAGCAAGCTCAGCAGGTCCCGGGGGCGTGGTGGCGGCCAGTGGCAGAGCCAGCCTACACCAGCCCGGAGACAGCAGAGCAGCATAGTCAGTGCATCAGAGCGCTGGGCCTGCGGCAGCCGGAGCCAAGAGGCGGCTCGGCCATGAGCCTCCTGCTGTTCTGCGCGCTGCCCGCCCTGGGCGGCTACGCGATGCTCTCTGTTTTCTTCTTGCGTCGGCCACGTCTGCTCCACACACCGTGGCCTCGGTCCTTCACTCCCCACCTGGGAGCCCACAGAGGAGGTGAGCTGGGCAGAGGTGGGAGGGGTGACGACAGCATCCACTGTGGGCACCAGGGTGGCAAGCAGAGAGCAGGCCCCAGGGGCAGGAGTCTAGAAAGGGGGAAGGAGTAGAATAGGGGAGAAGACACAGCACTGGTGTGGATGAGGCCTGAGGAGACAAAGGGTCTGAGGCAGAGGAGGCGAGGAGGTCATTCGGGACGGAGAGGAAGAAGGTGGCAGCAGGCTCCTGGGCCCCAGGCCTCAGGGACCCACCCCAGCTGCCCTACACAGGATCTGGAGAGAAGCTGGAAAATACTTTGGAGGCCATGGAGAAGTGAGTGCACCTGCCCCGCCCGGCCCCACCCCACAACTACCAGGAAACCAAGGGTCCCCTAACTTCCTGTCCAAGTGACCAGTGCCGCAGCAGCTTGTATTTCTCACTTTGACCTATATGCCTGTCCCTACTTTACCCCCGACCTCCCAGGGACAGTGCAGTCTGGCCCCATCGTTGTTCCCTGCCCCCTTCTTGACCTTTGCTCCCACAGTGCCATGGCCCAGAAAGCCGACCTCATGGAGCTGGACTGCCAGCTGACCAAGGACGGCGTGGTGTTGGTGTCCCATGATAAGAACCTGTTACGCCAGACAGGCTTGAATAAGGATACTGACAGCCTGGACTTTAAGGTGGGCCTCATCCCAGTTCCCCTGCCAGAGACCCCAGAGAGTTGCCACATCTGCCTCCTAGTGACCATCTTCCTGCTTTCTTCCCTCCAGGACCTGCCTCCCTACAGGGAGGAGCTAGAGGTTTACTTCTCACCTGGTAAGAGCCTGGGACCTTGACCTGTGACCTTTGAGCCCTAAGGGTGTTACAGCGTCAGCCCCCTGCTTTGACTCCCTCTGTTTTGACCCCACTCCCTAAGATCGCCCCTCCCTGCCAATCTTTCTCTGATTGCTGTTCCCACAATCCCTCAGGCCGCTTTGCCCATGGGTCAGACAGGCGCCTAGTGAGCCTGGAGGATGTGTTCCAGAGGTTCCCAACAATACCCATGAGCGTGGAGGTCAAAGAGAAGAATGAGCAGCTCATTCACAAGGTGCACTGCGGTGGGGGGAGGGAAGCAGTGCATGGACACGGACAGCCTGGTCCATGGACAGAGTCGCGGCTCTCTCTGTTACCTCCTCCTCCTCCTAGATAGCAGACCTGGTGAGGCGCTATGAGCGCAACGACATCACCATCTGGGCCTCAGAGAAGAGCTCCATCATGAAGAAGTGCAGAGCTGCTGTGAGTCCGCCTGCCCACACCATGCTTGACTTACCCCTGGCCCTTCCTCACAGGGACCAGGGTCCACAGTCCAGCCCAGCCGGCCTGGATCTGAAGGGTCAGGGAGGCTTCTGGAGGAACTGCTGCTTAAACATTTCTCAAAGGCAGAGGAAATATCCAGTTGGGGTCTAGAGGAAAGTGTATGAACAAAGGCATCGTGATGGGAATGAGGAAGCTGTACTCAGACCATGAACACTGGACCAAGTCAGGGTTTCAATCCCAAAGGCAATGGGGAGCCCTGAGTGTCACACCCCCAGCTGCCATACTTCTTTCCTAGGAGAATGCTGGAGACCTTTCTTACTATTTCAGTTTATCTAGTAGGGAGCTCTGGTGGCCTAGTGGTAAGAAACTACGCTGCAATCCTGAAGGCGCATGGTTCAAAGCCACCAGCTGCTTTGCAGGAGAAGGGTGGGCAGTCTCCTCCTGTGCAATTAACTGCCTCTGAAAACCCACTGGAGGGTCAGCTATGGGCCGGTTCCTACTTGATGGTACACAACAACAACAACAACAACAGTACTGCTACGGGAGAGCTCTGGTGGCTGCTTCTTATGATTGCATGCCATTGCTAGCTGACCCTCCAGTGGGTTTTCAGAGACAGTAAATCACACAGGAAGAGATTGCCCATCCTTCTGCCACAGGGCAGCTGGTGGATTCAAACTGCTTGTCTCTGGGATTGCAGTGCTGCTTTCTACCGCTAAGCTTTGGAATCGCACAGCCAGCCACAAGTTACACTGTTCAAATCCCCAAGCTGCTCTGTAGGGGGAAAAAACATGGAGAATCTCCTGTACAATTTGTAGAAAACCTGCTGGAGGGTCAACTGTGAGTCAGTGCCGACTTGACGGTACACAACAACAGTACTACTGTAACAGAGACACCATAGGTGGTGGCCTTACCAGGACAAATCTGTCCTTTTAGAGTTTAGGAGGCCCACTCATTGGCATGGAGTAGGAACTGACTCCTAGCTGACCCTTGGGTGTTTTGCATGAGGGGAGTCTGCTCAGTCTTTCTCTCACAGGGAAGCTAGTGGATTTGAACCACCTGCCTTTGAGTTGGCAGTGCAACCCTCTATCCACTAGGCCAGAAGAACTCCCTTTAGGAAGCTAGTGGTCAGGCTGGCAGTTCTCGTGAGGACCCACTTTGTCAAAATCCTTTCCCTTCAGCGTCTTACAGGCCTGGCGTTCCCTGGGGGCTGCATGTGTCCCGGCCTCCCCACTGTCAAAGGGCTTCCGAGAGCAGGGCCACAGTCCCAAAAGGGTGCACCTGGCACGTATTTCTACCCCTGGCATTATTTCCTGATAGCACTGAATTTAGCTCCCCCCTTCCAGATTTATTCCCTTTTATCTCATAAAGTAAAGATGTTTCCGGCTACACCCTAGTGAAACTCCCCTTCTGTCTTGATCTGGACTGGGTTGCATTCCATTCCTTAATCATACTGACTGTCAGTAGAAGTACCATCACTGTCACAGCCAGAGCACAGGAGGATAGCTTTAATAAAGACAGATTCTCTTAGAGGTTAGGAGGCTAAAGGTCCAGATTCAGGTTGCCAGCTATAGGGATTATGGGGGATCCTTGCAGGGCTCCCGCACTGCATCATGCATCATGGTGTCGAGCCCATTGCACTGACTTTCCCTTCGTCTCTCCAGAACCCGGATATGCCGTTCTCCTTCACGGTGAGCCGTGGAATCTGGATGGTGGTGCTCTTCTACCTGGGGCTGCTGCCCTACATCTCCATCCCAGAGAGGTTCCTCATCTCCTTCCTGCCCACCATCATCAACAGGTACCAGACGGGAAGGGTGAGGAGCACCCGGGCCACTCACCTCTAGCCCCACTGCCGGGTCCTCAGTCTTGCTCCTTCCGGCTCAGCTTTCCTCAAACTTCAAGGTCTTATTCAAGACAGTCGCTCTTCACCAATGTTGTCATGTGCCATTGAGTTGCCTGCGACTCATAGTGACTCTATGTACAATAGCTCTGAACCCTGCCCTGTCCTAAGCCATTCTCACTGACTCTGACACATCTACCCCCATGACCCCAGTTACTGTGTTAATCTGTCTCATCTGGGGTCTTCCTCTCCTGTGCTGTCCCTCCACCCATCAGCGGCTGATGTCCTTCCCCAGGGGACTGATCCCTCCTGGCCACATGCCCAAAGTATGCAAGACAGCTTCAAAACCCTTGCCTCCAAGGAGCAAGCCTCTCCAGTAATCATAAATAATATGGGAACTTTGAGCCCTTAAAATGATACACAAATGTCTATCAATGTGAAGTTTTAAGGGGGAAAAAAGATATTTACTGACTGCCAAAAAAGATATTTACTGACTGCCTATTTTCTGCCAGGTGCAGTTATCAAATAAGCAATTAAACACAATAAGCAAATAACATTAGCTTGGAGGCCCTGGTGAGCTTCCCTTCCTCAGAGGAGACTGTTATTCATTAAGTAAAGAAACACTCTTTCAAATTCTGAAGAGGAAAAGGCCAGCTTTTCTTGTTAGTCCACAAAGATTAACAAAGTAACAGCCAAATAAGACTGAGTAAAGTATCAGGCCCTGGGATTCTGTCTCTGCCCTTGACTTTCCAGGAATTGGCCCAGGGACTGACTGCCCTGTAGGAAGTGCCTCAGCCAGCCCCCACAATCCTTTGCTGCAAAGACATCATCACAGCTCAGAACTTTGTGTACTTAGCTTTTTTCCTACAGGGTTTGCTGAGTATCTGTCCATCCCCACTTAATTGAGCTTTAACCATCCCAGGAGATAGAGGGATCGTGACCCCCATGGCACTCATGGAGCATCTGAAGCTCAGAGAGGCTCTGTGGTGTGTCCAAGATCACACAGTTAGAATTTTGGAGCCTGAGTTTGCCTTGGGCCTGGACACTGTCATGTTCTCTCTGGTGCGGAACTATGAAGGGCAAGTGGTGACGCATTAAACCCTGTCTGACCTCAATAATTGATCAGGCCAACCTGTAGGCTGGGTATCCAGCTTCAGAATCAAACTGAGTTTTTGTCCTGACCCTGCCACTGTCTTGCTGTATGACCTCAGAAAACTTATCTTAGCTTTCTGTTTTCTCAAAATAGTGAGGGGAAAGGGTCTACCCTGACACCAAAGTATAGTTTCAAGGATATCGGAGCAGGAGCTCAATGAACAGTGAGTGAATTCATTTATCTGGAAGGCACACAGTCACACTGGTCACAGGGGTCACTGGTACCGCACACCCAGCCCCTGTGGCTGACTTCCAGCACTTTCTCCTCACAGGACCTACTTCCCATTTCCCTGTTCTTGGCTGAACCAGTTGGCAGCTTGGGTTTCCAAATGGTGAGCTGGGCAAGAAGGCTGACCTGAGGGTTCGTGGAGAGACCCACTGTGATCTTTTCCCGTTGCCTCCTCTCATCCCTACCCTTGTCTCCATCCTCACCCCCCACCAGGCTCATCATGAGGAAGAGTCTGATCCAACACTTGGAGGCGCGAGGGATACAGGTAGGACCCCCCCACCCCGGTGACTCAGGGCCTAGGCCTGACATCTGGGTGCTGCTACAGCTCTGCCATGAGCTAGCTGGATTACTTGGGCAAGTCGCTTTGCTTTCTGAGTCTCAGCTTCTTCATCGTCAGAAGCAGGATGGCGGTACTTTTTCACTCTTCTGTCTCTGTAACTGGTACTTAGTTACCCAAAGCGCTGCTAAGAATCCGTGGCAGCTCCCAGTGATCCTTCATCTCCTGGCTCAGGCTGCAGCTCTTTATGGGAGGAAACTGCCTGTGTTTCCTTCCTGATGCAGCAGGTTGATTCAAACATGTGACGCAGATTATCACCAGAGCGCCTCGATACTTAATTAGCATGTTGTTGTTCATTGCCGTCCAGTCAGAACTGACTCATAGCTGCCCCTCCAGCAGGTTGGCAGAGCCTGTAAATCCCACGGGAGGAGCTTGCTTTGTTAGTGTGGGCTTCATGAATGTTAAAGAGGTGATGCCTTGAACCTGCCATCCTGACTGATCGCTGGTGAGGGGAATGGAGAGAGGCCAGAGAAGAGAAACTCCACGCTTAGCCCAACTCTTTCCCTCTGGTTCCGCCAAGCGTTCAGTTAGCAAAGTACCACTGAGCATGCAGTGAACCCTGGGGCCCTAGTGGGGAAGGAGTCCATACTGCCAACCCAGAGACAGGAGGTTCAAATCCACCAGAAGAAAGACGGGCAATCTCCTCCCCGGCGAAGGATTGTCAAGAGTTGGGATCAAGCCATTTACAACCCCTGAAGATGTGCTCGTGGGTCAGCAGGGGGTAGGTTCCTCCTTGGCAGCAACAAGTGAGTGAGCCTGTGCTGTGTTCTAGGTGTCGTGTTACGGGGCTAGAGCAGGGAACTTACAATGAGGGGTCCTCAAAGCTCCCTGCCATCAAGTCACACCACGGGTGTCACCACAGCATCCCTCCCTCAGATTTCTGGGGCTGTAAATGGCATTGGGGTATGACAAGAAACTAGAATAAGAGGTGCATTGCAGAGTGGACAAAGGGAGGGAGGGAAATGTGGGGGGGATATTTAAATAAGTTTTTAAATATTTAAATAAGTTTTTAAAAACGTCAATAGGGTAAGAATCTGCACCTTTGGTTAACTGTACAACATGCTGCAGACTCCACCATCTGACCCCCTTAAAAATCAGTGTTTGAAGAAGGAAATGAAGGTGACCATCACAGGGGCCATGAGAGAGAAGGGGAACAACTGTGGCCTTTGGGGTCAGGGAGAGCATTCCTGAAGTGAGGAGTGAGACAGAGCAAGGTCCCTGAGTGCACAGACACTCTGAGCTTGACTGGTAACCAGAAGGTTGGTGGTTTGAAATCACCGAGAACTAGACCCAGCCATCTGCTTCCATACAGATCACAAAGGTCATGGCCAACCCTGCTCTATAGCCAGCTGGGTCCCAGCTGGGTCTCTTCAGATGGACATCGGAACCCACAAACAAAAGAAATAAGTCAACAATAGGGTGAACTCGATCCCTCCAGGAGGAACACCTGCACACAAGCCAGGGATGAGAGGAAGCTGGCGCAGGAAAAGGAAGGAGGAGCGTGCAGGCCCAAGGGCAGCAGACGTGAAGGCCTGGAGCAGCTGCGAACCGGCCCTCCTCAGGACCCGCAGCCTGCAGGAAGGGGGTTGTGTTAAGCTAGAGAAGGCGGCAGAGGCTGAGGCAGGCCCCAGAGTCACCCGAAGGAGTGTGGGCTTCAGCCCAAACGCAAGGGAAGTTGTTGAGGCTTTCAAAGAACATAGGAGAGTGAATTGATCCAAATAAGGTTGGCTAAAGTGAGGGATGGTCTAGTCTCCATTCAGAGAGGAGATGGGCAGGGGCCAGAAGAGAAGCAGAGAGCCCTTAAGAAGACGACCAGGATTGAGATGCTGAGTGGATACTGGGGTGACGGAGGGATGAAAATGACAAAGATCTTTCAGATCACTCCTCTCACTGCCCGTGTCATCGCCACAATTCTGACACTGAAAATCACCTTCATTTGCTGAATTAAAATTCAGTGAGGCTCAGTGGCTTGCCCAGCTTACAAATATCATCACCAACCTCATTGTCTGCTGGGAAGTAGTGGAATGCTGGTAAATGTTCAAAATCTAGCTCTCCAGGACTTTTTTTTTTTTTTTAAAAAGGGATCTGATTGCAGATGCTGTTTTTTCTCGTGTAAAGACTTTTTTTCAAGAAAGCAGCAAGTCACTCACCTAATGCAGAGATGATTTGTAGTACTTAGCAGTTCTACAGTATTAAGGCAACAGCCATAAAGAATCTCAGGACACAGGTGATATTTAGGAAGTGGTAAGTTCCGAGTGTTTATCACCTTTGTTTTCAATGTTATTTATTATAAGTTCATGTGATTTCATTTTAATAGCAGCTGTGTTTAATAACCATTTTACAAAAAATCCCTGAAAATGTATACATTTGGCTCCAGCATTGCACTGCCTGGAGGCCTCTGGGGAGGGAGAGATAGAGTGATGTTGCAGGGGATATTGTTTGGAAATTATATGCCTGTTCTTGCCTACGCAGGTACTGTTTTGGTGCCTTAATGAAGAGTCCGATTTTGAGGTGGCCTTTAACCTGGGAGCCACTGGCGTCATCACCGACTACCCCACAGCCCTGAGGCGCTACCTAGACAGCCGTGGAGCAACAACCCAGGCCTCCTAAGGCAACCCGAAGGCCCTGGCTGTCTCCTCTGTGTCTCCCTGTAAATATCAGGGAAGAGAAAGCACTTCAGTGAGAGGGAGTGGCACCCTGGCAGCACTGATGATGGTGAAGAAACTGGCAGGACCACGCAGCATTCAGTTCTGTTGTGATGGGGTCATTCTGAGTTGGAACCAAGTCCATGGCACCCAATAACAACTGCAATAAATATTTTCTTTTTAGTCATGTGTTTGTGCTTGGGGAGGGGATCCTGGAAGATTAGAAAGATGAAGGTTGAGGGCAAAGAAGGGCCTGAGGCCAGAGCCTGGGGCTCCAGCCAGCTTGACCCACTGGTTCCACTACATTCCAGACCCCAGAGTAATGCCACACCCAGTGCCAGCCTGGCCTCCACTCTCCTCAGGAATGTCCCTTGCAGGGTCAGCCTAGTTGCCCTGGACCCCAGCCTTATTTACAGGCAGCCACAGGTGACTATTCTGTTCTCCTGAGGCCACTGTGAGAGCTGCAAGACATGGCAGAGGATAAGGACTTTCCCATCCATGCCTCGTCCCATGAGCCTCCTCCCTCTGCTGTCAAGGGTGGGCACGGGGGGGACAGCCGAGTTTACAGTGCCCATCTGCAGCCTTGTACTCTAGAAAGCCTCTTTCCAGGGTGCTCTGGCTCCCTGAAGTCCGCGGCTCGGCCCAGCCCCGGGTCCCTGTGTCACCTATCAATTTTCGCACCTGTCTCTAGGCTCCAGCAGTTAAAAGTGAAGTAGTTCGAATCCACCAGGTGTTCTGCCGGAAAAGGAGGGGCAATATCCTCCTGTACCAGTCAGATCTGATTTGATGGTACACACACAAAAATAAAAATAATTTAAGAAGAAAATAAAAAAAAGTCAAGTCATGGCAGACATGTGAATTGACATCACCGTGATTCAGAAGTGACACCTAAGTCAGTGTTCGAGGCATCAGAGAAGACTGCCTGGAGGAGGTGTTGCTGGACAATTGGCATTGGCAAGTCGGAGAATCTGGCTCCCAGACAGGCCCCTTTAAATTCTTCCAGTCTCGGGGGACCTGAGCCTTTCTTGGTGTTATGGAAAAAAACAATGGATTCAGGCCAAAACGAGAACCCCAGTTTATTTCTTACCCGCTGCATAATCCTGGGAGATTTTTGCTGGACATCTCTGGGCCTCAGTTTCTCAGTAAAATGAGGACAATAGTAGAAACAGCCTCCCAGGATGTGCTGCAGGGATTAAAGCAGTGGAATATAGGCGGAGGGAAACACAGAGCAGAGCACACGCGGCTGGAAACCATCCTGAGCCTGGCTCCTTCAAGGACCACCAGGGGCCACACGCAGCCGCATTTCCGGGCCGGCCGGAGTCCGGAGCAGGGGGAAGGGCAGCCCGGGCCTGCGCTGGCCGCTGGATGACGCGCCCCTTATTTGCATGCTGCGCGCCGATTGGCCACGGCGGCCGCGGGGACAAGAGGCCGGCCCCCTCCCCCTCCCGCCGCAGCGGCGGCAGCAGCTGGTCTCGGTGTAAACAAGTCGCGGCGGCTGCTCACCCTGGCCGTGGGGACGGCGCCCGCCAGGAGCGCCCCCCACTCCTAGGCTAGGCCACCCCGGTGCACCGGGCCCCCGCGCGCCCAGGCGAGGTGAGACTCTGCGCCCCCGCCCAGACATCGAGGACTGCCCCTTCCCCCGGCGCCCGATCCCTAGCTCCCCCCCACCCACCCCAGGGTGCCCCAGGTGAAGGGGTCCCAGGTAAGGCTCTGCGGTGCAGGTAAGACCCCCTCGGGGAACGGAAGGCCTCGGCGCACCCAGGTAAGAGCCGCCCCCTTTCTGGATGACCCTCTATTTTCAATGAGGCCTCCTGCCCACTCTAGGTGAGGGGGATCCTCTCCCCAAGTGAATTCTCTGGGTCTTAAATGAAACCCTCCAACAGTCTCATTGAAATTGCAGAAACCCCCTCATTCTTAACCTCCTGTGTACCCTCTGAGCTGGGAACTGACAGCTCCTGCGCTCTAAAGCCCCTTCCTCCGGCTCCAGCGTCTAGGCCGGTAGTAGGGTGGCCCGGAAGCAGGTGGATGATTCACCCTGGGCTCCTCCTAGCCTCAGTTTCCACATTGATGCAACTGAGGCCGCCTCAGTTGAGTCAAAATTGACTCTGGTCCCTGGGGAGGCTGCCGAGTGGTGCTAGTATGACAGAGTCCCCATGGCCCTGGGCGTGCCTGCAAGCTTGTGGCTCAGGGCCTGACAGCCCTCTCCCTCCCTCTGGCAGGCACTGGGCTCCCTCTGCTCCCCGTGGGCCGCTCCCCGCGTGGGGCCACTGCCCCCGGCCCCCGCCATGGTGCGGATTTCAAAACCCAAGACATTTCAGGCCTACCTGGATGACTGTCACCGGCGGTATAGCTGTGCCCACTGCCGTGCTCACCTGGCCAACCACGACGACCTCATCTCCAAGGTACCCAGGCCACAGGTGGGGCTGCAGTGAGAAGTCTGGCAGCCCCCCCTACCTGAAGCCCTAATCGCCTGCTCCCCTTTCCTACCCTCTTAGTCTTTTCAGGGCAGCCAGGGGCGTGCCTACCTCTTCAACTCTGTGTAAGTATTTCAGCTCCCTCATCTCTTTCCCCTATCTCAGCTGTGACCTGTGACCCCCCTGACATCATGCCGAGGGCCCAGAGTTCCTTCACTGAGGCAGGATGCTCTGATCGCCCTTCAGTGGAGTGGGGCTTGTGATGGTGGGAGCTTCTCTGGGACTGTCCCATGTCCCTACAGGGTGAATGTGGGCTGCGGGCCAGCCGAGGAGCGGGTGCTGCTGACAGGCCTTCATGCTGTCGCGGACATCCACTGCGAGAACTGCAAGACCACTTTGGGCTGGAAATATGTGAGTCTGTGATCTCTGACCCCAGGCTACCTCTTGACCTGACCTCAGGTCACCTGTTCTCAAAATCAGTCATCCTTTGAAAATGGGCCCCTAGCTCATACAATTCAAACTGCCTGTTGAGTTCCTGGCCATGCTCTGTTCTCCCATGTTCTGCAAGGACTTTTAGACATTTTCTCTTACTGTCCCCCCTTCCATTACAGGCCCTGTGTGGTGGGTGGCCTCAAGTCAGCCATAGTGACTCTGTGAACAGGATTTGAATCTTATCTTGTGCTATCCTAACCATGTCTGATACTCCGGAGCCTATGGTTACAGTCACTATGTCACTCCTTCTTGATGAGAGTCCTCTTCTCTTTGTCTGACCCTCCCCCTTTCCCAGCATGATGTCTTTCTCCAAGGACTGGCCCTTCTGGACAGTATGCCCAAAGTATGCGAGAGAGTTTCACCGTCCTTGCCTCTAAAGCCCTAGCATCCTTATTTTAGAGATGCAAGTATAATCAGAGTTACTACTTATGGAATACTCATGTGCCACGTGTTTGGCATGTTGTTATGTCACTCAATCATTACAACAATCCTGTAGGTAGTCTATTATTACCTCCATTTTACAGAAGAAGAAACGGAGGCCCAGTGATGTTAGTCATACAACTGGTAAGTAACCCAAAGGGACCAGAATCTAAGTTTTTTTGGTTCTTTTCCCCAAACCTGTGACCACCAGATTATATTGTCATCAGAGGAACAGAGAGGGTTGTCCAAGATCCCATGGCATCATGGAATTTGGGGCCATAGGTCTTCTTTCCTTTAGTTCTCATTGCTCCTGGTGCTGTCTAGGGTTTGAACTCCCTACTCCACGTGTCTTTTTCTTATATTGCAGTTGAAGATAAAACTACTGCCTAGCTCCCAAGACAGTGAATTATCTGTTTAGATACAACAAAGAAAGATGGGCATAGGCACTGCCAAACACAGGGTTCCTCAGGCATCGCTTGGAGCTGCAGTAGCTCTGAGAGATGTGTGTTCCAGCAAAGAAGACTTTAGGCTTGCCTTTTTTGTTCCTCTCTGGCCCTGCCACAGATCTGCTGTAAAGACTTAGGCAGCTGCTTGGAATCTCTATAAAATAAAGAGGGGGGCCTCGTCCGAAGGTTAGGGACTCAGTTGTCTGCAGAAACTGTAGATTTGCAAAAGTAGTGTAGATTTAGGGAAAGGAGAGTCTGGGGCAAACTGGAATGAGCATGCCTGCTGCCTGCCTATGGTAATATTCTAGATAAATACTACTAGGGAAAACAACAACAACAACAAAAAACCAAACAAAACCCAACACCAGCTTAAACATATATTGGTCAAAATCGGCTCATAAGCTACTAGTTTGCAACTTCTGGCATATGAAATCTTTTAGATACTTTATAGATTTCTGTTAGTGCAACATTACCAAAGAATGATACATTAAGTTCTACCCATGGGGAGACAATTGGCCCTGCCATCTGTCATCTGGTGACTGACTAGGCAGTGCCTTGGCCACTCTGAGCAGCACTTTCCTCATAGGCAAAGCAAGGCCAGTTATGTCCCCTCTTCCAGCCCCTGTCCTTTGATAAGGCTTTAGCTCTAAGGATGACTGGCCCCTTCTTTCCTTTCAGGAACAGGCCTTCGAGAGCAGCCAGAAGTACAAAGAGGGGAAGTACATCATTGAACTCAACCACATGATAAAGGACAATGGCTGGGACTGACTGACTCCTGCTTTCTGAACCATGTGGCTCCAGTCCAGCCTGGCCGCTGGGGGGCGCCACTAGCCGCCTTCCTCAAAGGAAGGACACTGGCCACTCAGTCTCTGCAGAGGAAGGACCCAGCTCCTGTACATATATTTTATTGCATGCACTGTGACCTTGGGGGAAAAACAAGAAGGGGGACTGCGCACCCCCGCCTCTCCTGCGATCTGGCTGGCTTGGATCTCGTTTTTAAACCCTTTCTTCCCTGGCTGCCCTGAGTGCTGTTCCTTTAGGCCCCAGTGTCCAGTCGTCCTGTAAACTCTTCCTTCGGACCCCTTTATCCTTGCGTGTCGGCGCCCTTCATTCTGTAGCGTTTGTAAATAATAAAACAATGGAGTGGAGAAAGCCCCAGGCTCACGTGGAATCTGGGAAGGGGGTACTGAAATGCAAATACCCGGCCCTATAGACTGCTTCCTTTCCAGTCGTCCATGCTGGACGCCTGCGCCCCAGGATCCTGGCTTCAGCCAGCCTCTCCGGCACCCATGTGGGGCCCGCGGCCGGTGGAGGGTGGAGGTTCTCGAGCTCACGCTGGCTGCCTGGGCCCCCCAACCTGATCTAATCTCGGTTGTCTTCGCTGCCGCATAGGGGGCTGCAACCCCGCCGCCAACTCGCTGACTACAACTCCCAAGAGCCCCAGCGTGACCTTTGTTTCTTTTGTACTGTGCCTCGGCGCTGGGCTTTCTGGGAAATGTAGTTCTTCAGCACCTGAAGATTAGAGCGCTGCACCCGACTCTAAACTTGAGAGCTCTGTCCAAGGGTGGAGTGTTTCCTAATGGGAAACCAAGGAGGGTCCCAGAGTCTGGGCTAACCTCCGGACTTCTCGGGGTTCCCAGCTTTATGCGTAATTTGCATCTATCCAGCACATTCCTTCCAAACCCCATCTTCCTAGTGAAGGGGGTGTCACCTGCCAGAAAAGTCCAGGGCGTCGATGCCCAGCCGAGGGTCCAGGCCCCGCCCCTCAGTAGTTTATTCCTAGTGAGCCCTCACCCCGTGGGAACTACGACCAGCTGGCCGGAAGCGCCAAAATGCGCCCCCCAGTCGGAGCCCGGGGATCAATCAGGCCGAGGAGTTAATTATGTAATGAGGGGAGCAGGGGGTCGGGACTAATGAAGGCGCCAAGGGGAGGGGGGAGGTTACCCAGGTATCCGGCCCCTTCGTGGACCCCTTCGAGGCCCTAAGGGTCTCCACCCCAGGCCAACTCCAGGGCCTCAAAGAGGGGAGGGGCTGTGATCTTGGGTCTGGAAGGGGCTGAGCAGCCAGCTATAAAGGGGACATCTCTCAACACGGGGGGAATTCTAGGCAGCGTGACCTGAGGCCAGGCTAGACTACTCCATGTACCATCCACGGGAGTTGTACCCCTCCCTGGGGACCAGCTACCGCCTGGGGCCCCCCCAGCCTGGGGCCGACTCTACCTTCCCGCCTGCCTTAGCAGAAGGCTATCGCTACTCTGGTGAGCTTTGGGACTGACTCCTGTGGAGGGGCCCTGGGAGACTGGTCCTAGGCTCATCTTATATGCCCCTCATCTCCAGATCTGGATGCCCCCAAACTGGACTGCTTCCTCCCTGGAATTGAGGCTGCTCCCCGCACGCTGGCCGCACCCCCACCTTTGCCCCCTCTCCCTCCTGTACTGGGCACTGAGCCAGCCCCTCCAGCCCCAGAGGCCCTTCACTCACTTCCTGGCGTCAGCCTGAGCCTGGAGAACCGGGAACTGTGGAAGGAGTTCAACTCCGTGGGAACAGAGATGATCATCACCAAAGCTGGGAGGTGAGGGTGATCGCGACCAGGCTGGTCCTGCTGGGGGTCAGTTTGCAAAGGTAGTCTCTGGTGACGGCTTCGGGGAACAGTTGGAGCTCTGACTCAGGTCAGTCGAGCTCTGTGGCCTGGGTCAGGGATTGCACTGTGACTGGGTCATGGCACACTCTATGTCAAGGGGCAAAAGTCAATCTTTACACAATCTGTGGCTGTGTTTAGGGAACAGTCTGTGGCAAGAGTTAAGAGGTCAATCTGGGCTGGCAAGAGTTGTCAATCTGGGCTAGGTGATCTGGCAAAGGTTCTAATCTGTCTGGAGTCAGACAATGGGGTCAGGGACCAAAGACCAACAGCTGGGAAATTCGGCCAGGGTCAGGGGTCAGTGTGTAAACTGGGTTACTCACTGCTCATTCGCTCATTGCCACTGAATTGGAACAAACTCACAGCTGACCCTCCAAGGTCTTGATCTCCAAGGCTTTAAGTCACAGGAGGAGACTGCCCATCTTTGTCCCAGGGGAGATGCTGATGGATTTGAATCACTGGAGAGGCATGGTCTTTGGGCTAATAGTCCAACTCACATAGAGTAGAAACAAATGCATTACTACCAAGGAGTTGTGCTGTCAACCCGAAGGCAGGCAGCTCGATTTCACCAGCTGCTCTGAGGGAGAAAGATGGACATTCCCTACTTGTGTGATTTTATAGAAAACCCACAGGAGAGTCAACTGTGAATCAGTTCCAACTCAACAGCCCTTAAACAGCACGAAAGGCAGGATGGAGTCAGTGTGTGACTTTTCCCTGGCTCTGTGTCTGAGCCATAAATTTAGGCACTGGTGTGGTGAGTCTCCCATTCTGTGAAAGGCATGGACATTTTTTTTAAAAGATAATTTGTCCAGCAGCCTCAGAATCTAGGGCTGGAATAGCAAGTGAGAAGACCAGGACCAGCAAGTTCTGGCACAATTTTAGGAGAAAATGTGCCACCATACCTCTACAAAGGTTTGAGGGCCTGGCAGTCAGGGGTCCTGGCTCTGCTACTAAACTGTATTGTCACCCTGTTCAGACCACTTATTCTGTCTTCAGTTCTCCATTTGTAAAATGGGACCAGCAACCCGCCAGCTCTAAGATTCTGCCTTCTGAGTTCTAATTCCACTGATGCTTTCTGCCCCAACTGTGTGTGCCTCTCCATCCTTTGCCTGGTGCTATGTCCAGCCCAGCCAGTGGGTAGCTCCAGGCCTCTCCCATCCCACCTGTCCAGGCGCATGTTCCCTGCTTGCCGAGTGTCAGTCACTGGCCTGGACCCTGAGGCCCGTTACCTGTTTCTTCTGGATGTGGTTCCAGTGGACGGGGCCCGTTATCGCTGGCAGGGCCGGCGCTGGGAGCCCAGTGGCAAGGCAGAACCCCGCTTGCCTGACCGCGTCTACATTCACCCTGACTCTCCTGCCACCGGTGCCCACTGGATGCGGCAGCCTGTGTCCTTTCACCGAGTCAAGCTCACCAATAGCACACTGGACCCCCACGGCCACGTGAGGCCCAGGCTGGGACCCCAGGATAAAGACTGAGGGTGGTGCTGGATGGGAGGCCAGGGCTGGGGCCAAGGGCAGGAGTCACCCCCTTTTCTTCCTTCTCAGCTGATCTTGCATTCCATGCACAAGTATCAGCCCCGCATACATCTGGTGAGGGCTGCCCAGCTTTGCAGTCAACACTGGGGGGGTGTCGCCTCTTTCCGATTCTTGGAGACCACATTTATCTCTGTGACAGCCTACCAGAACCCACGGGTGAGTGGTCCTGCATGGGGGGTGGGGGTGCTTTCCCAAGGCTGCCAGGAGCTTTGACCTTGACTGTGTACTCCCAGATCACACAGCTGAAGATCGCAGCCAACCCCTTTGCCAAGGGCTTCCGGGAGAATGGCAGAAACTGCAAGAGGTGGGTATTGATGCACAGTCATTCACGACTGCCTGTCAAACCCCACTGTGTTCCAGGCACTGTGCTGGGTGCTGGGAACACAGTGGTAAACCAAACCAACAAATATTTACTTAACAACAGCCACGTGCAAGGCACAGTTCTAAGTACTAGAAACAGAGATAAATACAACAAACTAAGGCCCTGGTCCTCATGAAACCGGTAACTGTTAAGAGAAAATTTTAAAGAGAAAAGAAAATAAAGTAGGGAAGGAAGAAAAAAAAAAATTGGGGTTAAGCATTAGTTTAAAAGGCCTAGAAAGACTGCACTGAGGACATTTGTGACCAGATTTGACGGAAGCAAAAGGGAGGAGCCTAGTGAAAAACATTTGGTGAAAAACATGCCAGAAGTGGGAATAGCACGTGCAAAGGCTCTGAGGTAGGAGTCTTGCCTACAGGGTGGCTGCAGTGGCATAAGGAGGCAAGCCAGAGATTAGATCAAAGTGTAGGGGGAGAAAAACTAAAATAAAATAAAATAAAGACGGAAGCAGACTGTTGAAAGGTCTTAGTATGGACTTGGATTTTTAGTCTGGAGAACCTGGCTCATACCCTCAAGGACTGGCTGTAGTCTGTCAGATAATCATCAAAAGATCATCCTATGAAGTGGACAGTGTTGTGACTAAGGCTACCACTGCAAGGGGATATGACATTGCCATGATCAGTGAGGATGTCTTTTGAGAAAATTATGCTTGAACTGACGATGAGTCAAGCAGGTGAAGATGACCTGACACACAGTGGCCCAAGGTTGGATGTAACAGGTGCTAAAAGCTAGGATAGATGGAGCAGAGGGGGTCAGGTGCAACACGGTGGGGTCAGACCAGGGAGGGAAGGAGTCTCGATTGATCCTAAATGCCGTAAAAAATTACTGGAAAGCTTTAAGCCAGGTCGGCCACCTTCTGGTCCTTCTCTTGCTTTCAGTTCCTTCATCTGTAAAATGGGTCTAATGGCACATACCTGATAAGCGTCCCTGGGAGGGCAAAACGCCTGGCACCTGGGAAGTGGTATTCTTACCACCATCATCATTACCATCATCATCATTCTTCTCCAGGGAGCGAGACGCCCGTGTAAAGAGGAAACTTCGGGGCCCAGAGACAGCAGCCACAAAAGCCTATGGGAGTGGAGGTGAGTATGGCCCCAGTGGTGCTGGGGTCCGGCCTGCGGTACTGACCCTCCACAGCCCAACTTGTCCCTTTTTCCTGTCCAGATGCACCTGGTGGTCCCTGCGACTCCACACTGGGTGGGGACGTCCGTGAGTCAGAAACAGAACAGGTCCCGGCACACCGGGAAGCTACCCTGGCCCCAGTACCTCCATGCGGTGGCTCCAGTGCCGAGGCCTACCTTCTCCACCCTGCAGCTTTCCATGGGGCCCCTGGTCCTTTGCCAACCAGGTGAGCAAGACAAGGGCCCAGGGTGGGGCTGGGCTGAGTCACTCTGTTCTGAGACCTCTCTCCACTCCAGGACCAACTTCCCTGAGGTTCCGGAATCTGGACCTGGACGCTCAGCCTCCTACTCAGCTGCGTTCCTAGAGCTGCAGGCCGGGCCTGGGGGCTCAGGGTACCCAGTGGCTCCATCCACAGCACCTTTTGCCCCACATTTCCTTCAAGGGGGCCCTTTCCCCCTATCCTACCCCGGGCCTGGGGGTTACCTGGATGTGGGCTCCAAACCCATGTACTGAGCCACTGCTGGCCCTCTGCCATCTTCCATGGGAGACCTCCAGTCCCCCTTCCCCCAGCCCCTTCCCTTCCACTGGCCCCACTCCACACACCAAATGGCTGCTTTGGGCCTCCTACCCCTTCACACTTTGATTTCACTCCCAGCCCCCTCTGGCTTCAAAGCCTGAAGAGGGATGCTGGGAGCCCAGCTGGGGCCAGCTTCCCCTTACCAGCTCTCACCTTGGTGTGAATGGAAGCTCTGCTTGGCCAAATGGGGCCACTGGCCTGCACCACCCCCCCCACCTCCTGGGCCTCACCCCCAGGGCTTGGGCACATTCTACTCCCTTGCCCCAGTGCAAGCCATACCAATTTGTTCTCAGGACCAGAGTATTTTTGTTAATAAAACTTGAAAGACACCAGTGCTCTAGAAATATTGGGCTAATGGTGTTTTGCGCTGGGTGGGGCCGGGTGAGCAAAGGCTTTTGCAGGAGACCCAGGTCCCAATTAGACCTGTCATTTTCTAGTGGCACACACAAATCTCCTGGCCCCTATGCCTCAGTATTCTTCAGGTACATGGGAGAAGCTCAGTCTTGTAGTACTGGCTGTCTGGCAAATTCTGACTCTGCCTGGGAACACCTTGCCCTCCACTTAACACTTGCATGATGCCTGTGGTGGGCATTTCTGTTTGGATGGGGACCAGGCTTTGGGGTAGCGGAGCACCTGAGCCTAGCACTCCCACAAGATCAGAACTCAGGGCCAGCCAGGGTCCTAATGTCCCTGCTCCCACCCAATTAAGCCTGACGCTCAACCAAAAATCATTTTTCTTCTTTTATTAGAATTTTTTTTGTGTTTTTTTTTTGTTTTTCCCACAAAATTTTTTATCTAAAAACAACAAAAAAAGAGAGAAAGAAGAAAAGAAAGTTACTGGAAACGTCATGGTTAATCTGGGAGGAGAGGAGAGGCGCATGGGGCCAAGACTCCGGCCTCTCCAGAGAAGTCCTCACCCTCTTGGTGCCAATGCAGGGAGGGCAGAGCAGGAGACACCCTCTGCCTTTCTGGTGGAGAGGTCAGAGTCACAGTGGTCCGAGGGCCAGGGGCACTGGAGGGCAGGGGGCCAAAGAAGTCACAGGAAGTAGTCAGCCACCGGCTTTTTGGAGGGGATGCCCCTCGTCTCCTGGGGCGCAGCCTCAAAAATGATGAAATCTTTCTGGAGGTGTTCATCCAGCTCCAAGATGGCAGCCACATTCCCACAGCTGGAAGCAAGAGGTGGGTGGTGTGTAAGGAGTGGGTAAGCCTATGATCACCCCCACCTTGACCTCCTGGCCCAGCCGGCTCACCGGTAGCAGTAGTTGGGTGCAGACCATACAGTCAGCACCGTCTCATTGAAGTGCCACTTGTAACCTTCCATCACCAGTTGGTGGGCACGGCAGATCATGTCAATGTCATTGGCTGCGTTGAACTGGGCCACCACATCACTGCCAAATAGGTAGCCAGCCCCCCGGGGGCTCACACCCCATCCTGTTGTATCTGGAACAAAGGAAAACAGAAACGGAGGAGAGGGTTCTCAAGGCGTCACTGGTTGCCACTTCCCCTCCAAGGTCAATGTCATTCTCACCTCTCCCGATTAAGCAGAGGACTGTAGAGGCAAGAGCTCAAAGCTTGGGTATCTATTCAAGGGGGTCTTAACGAGACAGGACTGCAAATGCCAGAGCAGATGAACTCCAAAGGAGAATGTAACAGCAGCTGGGACCACTTCACAACCACGAGCCCAGATATTCGGCAAACTCATGCCAGTGAAAGGAAGCACTCATTATGATGGGGTCAATGTCACCAAAGACCACCAAGGTAAACCAGGAAGCAGGCTGGGAAGGTAGGAGACTTGCCTTTATTCTCTAGTTCTGCCTTTTACCAGTTAGGGGGACCCCACAAAACGAGGGATTCTCAGAGCCTGTCATTCTGGAAGGCTGACCTCTGATAAAGCTGCTGACGGGTTCTAAGGCCCCTTCCCATGCAGGGAGCCAGTGATGCTGTCTTCAACAACCTTCTGAGCCAGACAGACACCCCCAGCCTGCACCTGATCACAGAGCCCCTGCCCCTCACTGGAGGGGTCCAGCCAGTGAGCAGCGCAAGCACAGAAGCCAGTGAAGAGCTGCTTAGCTCTGCTCCTACCCTGCCCCAAATGGACCTGGTCCTACAGACCCTTCAAGTGCCCTGAGTCTCTTGTCAAACTACTAAGAGTTGAAACCTTTGTCTCTCTTGTCTGCTCACCTTCGGGGTCGGACCAGAGCAGGTCACACATGGGCCCATCATGAGGCACCTCTTGCTTCCGGTCGATTGTCCGGATTTGGTCCAGGGTCTGGATGGAAGGGGAAAGGCCCCCATGCACACAGAAGATCTAGGAGATAGGAGTGGGAGAGAGAGAGGAGGGCGACTGAACCCCAGGACCTGTGCTGGCACAGAACCCCACAGGCTCCTGTGGCCGGCCTACCTTGCCATCGATGATGGCCGACAGGCTGAGGTAGTCAAAGATCTCAGTGCAGTAGCGCCACACAGTCACCGAGCCATACTTGCGCAGACACTCGTCATAGAAGCCGTACACCTGGGTGATCTGGCGGCTCTCGTGGTTTCCTCGGATTAGGGTGATGCGGTCAGGATAGCGAACCTGCAGGTTGCCGCGGAGCCAGTGCTGAATCTCAGCTCAGCCCCTTTCATAAGCACAGGGTCCCTCTCCCAAATGACCCAAGGTTTGCCAGCCCACTCCTGCATCACTGCCGCCCTGAGCCTGACTGCACACAAGGCCCTGGTCCCTTATAACTTCTCCCACCAACAGAGGTCGCATCAAGCCATAATCAGTGCCTGAATGCCACACTTGGTAACAATATGGGCCTGTATTATTCCCCTTTAAGAAAGTTGCCCTGTTACTTTCATCCTTGAAGGGCTCGATGAGATGCCTCTAAGTCAAAGCAGCCTTGACATTTGTCATCCATGCTGAGTCCCAGCAGACAGCACAGCTGATGGTGGCAGTGGGAGACGAGGGTGGGGTGGGAGTAGGACAGCGGTGACAAGGGTGCAGACCAGTCACGGCTCCCACCTTAAGTGCCAGCAGTAGGAGGAAGGTCTCAACGCTGTAGAAACCACGGTCCACAAAGTCCCCCATGAAGAGGTAGTTGGTCTCAGGGACATCGCCACCCACCTGGGGGGAGGAAAAGGTTCCACTTGGTTCTAAATCCATCTTCCTGTCAAGCTGAGGCCTGTCTCCACAAAGGGCTCTGATCTCCCCTCCATTCACCAGAGTAAAGGCTCTACTCTTAATTGGAACATCTTCCGGTCACCCTCCCCACCACCCGCTGGTCCCTCGACCCAATGATCCCCCCCTCATACTCACTCTGAAAAGCTCCTTGAGGTCATAGAATTGCCCATGGATGTCACCACAAACCTGGGAAGTAAGGTGGGTTGACCCTTATCACAAAGCCCCAAACTGTGCTTCTAGGCACTACCTTAGAAAGCACCCATAGCTTCAGATTCCTACTTCGTCAATGTGGACTGTGGTCCCCAAAAATATGTGCTGTTAAGTCCTAATGCCTCAATCTGTGATTATAATCTCGTCTGGGAATGGGTTTGCTGTCATGTTAAGAAGGCAGTGTTGGTGGAGGTTGACTTAATCTCTTTTGAGATACAAGAGAGCAGATCATTGAAAGGTTAAAGCAGCAGAGATGGGGGAAGGCGGGTACCAGACCACAGAAGATCACAATGAATCAGGAAACAGAAGCTGGGAAGAGACAAGAACCTGCCCCCAGAGCCCAAGGAGCAATCAACACTCTGAATCCAGACTTCTAGCCTCTTCAACTGAGCCAAAATACCTTGTTTCTTAATGCTGCCCACTTGTGCTGTCTCTGTTTTAACAGCACTAGATAATTAAGACCCCTGATTTAAGCCTCTGCTTTTCAGGGTCAAAAATCTATTCTTCCACCCCAAGTCAGCCTGGTCTAGAATCACCCACCACCCTACACCAAGTGCCCAAGGTTCTGGAGGCAAAAGTGAGAGTCAGTTCCTGGATTTGCAGTTCCTGGAGGACTTCGAGCCCTCTTGCTCCATTCCCCTCAAGGTACTCAAAATAAGCTATCAGCACAGAGCCAAAGAACCACATGGAATAGAACCACTCACCCAATTAGAAGTCCTTCTGCTCTGTCCAGGAATATCCCCCACCACAATAAAAGACTGTTTCCGTAACATACACTTGTTAAAGCAGGGATTCCCTGAAGGCAGGTGGGACTTCCCGGGTCCCCAGGAATGCGAGGTGGCCCTGAGGAGCCCGCCCGCGCGCCTCTGGGGGGACGGGGTACTCACGGTGACCGGCGAGTCCACCCTCTGCACGTTGCTCTCCTCCACTAAGATCTCTCTGGAGACAGGAGAAGATCAGGGTCACCTCAGCCGGGCCAGCCCAGCCCAATTCCTCACCTTTTTTTGAAGGAGGGGAGGACACGAGGTAGTCCTTGAACCTCTAGAGGGCAGGAGTGAGGCTTCCAATTTCCCCGGGCCAGGCTGAGCAGGCCTCCCTACTGCACACCCTTTCAAAATCCAAGCTCTTACTCCAGCAACTCAAAACCTTTCCAACAGGCTGCCATTTTTTCTCCCCAGCCATGGGTCCCATTCACACATCTAGCACTAACTCCCAGAAAAGGCTCATCCTCTCCTCAAACTGGTCCCTCAACCTCAGGTCCCCCGTTGAGCCCGCAGCCATGCTCCGCTAATCACAGGGCCCTTCTCCAGGAGGCACAAAGGCTGTTGTCATGCACCTTCCAAGGGATTCCTATTTGTTCAATACTGACTTAAAGATAGTGAGTTTTCATCCCTCTTTACAACACCATCTACTTCTACCTCAGCCAGCATAAAGTACGGATCTTCAACTTCAGTAGTACCACTTTTCCTAATTTTATCTGAGAAGAACAGTGCTGAATGAACACCCACATTCATATCATGTAGCAAGACCATGTTAAGAGTGACAACTCATGCAAGTGAGCAATCACCCTCAGAGGCAGGTCCTACAACTGCACAGATGAAAAAAGTGAAGCCCAAAGACGACTGGTGTGGCCAGAGCGGTACAGGTGGGATGCGAACCCCGGGCAGCTGAGCTCCAGGGTCTGACTCCTGACGTGAGGGACGCAGGCACTTGCCCAGCCCTCCTCTTTCTCCAAGGTTTTCTCCCACTAGACTGAGTTTCCTGAGTGCTGGGATGAGAATTCATCACTTAGACCCCACACGGTATTTGTTCTCTGTGACACCGACAAAACAGGGGAGGTCTGCCCTGGCTCTCTGGGAACGGGGAAAGACTCTGGCAGCAGTCAGAGAAGCCGTAACAGCCGGGCTCTCCCACCTGTACTGCATCCTGTGATGACCATCCTTCCACATCAACAGCTTTTATAATGACCTTTCCAACAGACTGGGGGAGGTGCTTTTTCATCCTCATCTGATAGACAAAGAAACCAAGGCTTAGGGAGAAAAGTGGCAAAAATCAAGTCACAAAACTGGAGAGTGGATAAACCGAACGCAAGAGGCCCAGCTCCCTGAGAATTCCTGTCTGCCCCTTCCAGACCCCAGGTCAAACCCAGAAACCCAGCGACAGCACACACAGGTCCACTGCTCTCCGCCAAATCCCTCTTTAGTGCCAGTTGGGCCCAAAGGGAACAGGGCCCCAGATCCAACCCCAGTGCTGTCATCCGCGGCACATCGCTCTGCTCCCTTTACTTCTGCACACACTGTCCCTAGACACTGTCCCTAGAGATGCAGGATCTCATTTGGGCCGCAGGGAGGTGGAGTGAGCTGGCCAGGGTCCTGCTGCTCACAGCAGGGGCACAGTTAGGATTCCCAATGCAGAATGCCCAATTCCATACCTTGCGACCTTTTGGAATTTTAATTATTAAAATAGATGCAACTTCTGCAGACGCTGCAGGCCTCTCTGGCTCAGGGGGTAGGAGCCCACATAAGTTCTGAACAATCAGAAACTCACAGCAGCACCTGCCTGAGTCTAGACCCCTACTGGGATCCCAGGCCACAGCCAGGTGGCAGAACCGGTCATCCTTCAGAACAGGTCTGGCACAATGGTGGCAACTAAGACCTCAGTCAAGTACTGCTAGGTCCATTTCCATTCCAAAGGGGCAGGACTCTTCCACTCATCAATCCAGAGCTCCCCACGGCCACTCACAACCCACTACAACCACGGAGCACAAAAGCAACCCCTCTACCTAGCTCTAAGACTTGAAGCAGAACATTCTCTCCTCGGAGGCTAGTCTTGTCTGTCAAGTACGGCAAACACCCAGCCCTGCCTTGTCTATTCCAGAGCAGCTGCAAGGGGCAATGAATAAGACCCACTTTCTTCGCTGCTCTAAAAACTACAGTATCCTATTCAAGTGTCAGCTATCACCACACCAACCCAGGTTAAAGAGAACAGTGCCGGGCAGAACCTGTTTGTTGACTCGCTGCCCTCAAGTGTGAACCAACTCACAGCAGACCCTCCACTGGGTTTCATGAGAGGAGACTGACCACCTTTCTCCCAAGGAGCCACTGTTGTGTAGGAGAACTGACGCAGAGCTGACCCTCTGGCGGGTTTGCAGAAGCGTTTAATGGCATGAGAGATTACCTAGCCTCCTGTGCAACAGCTGGTGGATTTGAACCACATGTTTGGGACTGCAGTGCAGTTTCTACCACTGGGTTTTAATCACCAAAAAGGCATGGCCTTTGGGTTAACAGTGCAGGGACTATACCACTAGAGCTCTGTTTGATTAAACTCAGTTCCAACTGACTCTGTATGGTGTTTCTGAGGCTGTAAATCGCATGAGTTCTCAACCAGAGGATTCAAACAGCCAGAGAAACACAGCTTTTGGGTCTTGAGTGCAACACACTAGAAACTAAGGCACCAGACCTGTCTGTCTAAGATCCTCAAAACTCCAGCCAGGACTAGGGAGCTAAGACAACTAAATGCACGTTTAGGCTGCTATGGACAGAGATTTCCTTGGCGTGGCAAAACATGATGGAGTCCGAGCCACACACTGAAGGAGGACTCTGGGCCACTCCCCATCCCCATGCGGGCCCTGTCTGGGGAGAGCAGAGCCAAGCAAAGCGCCTGACAGATCCAGAAAACAGCGGCTTCCTCACTAGAACTTGGTCAAGTCACTCGGCTTCCAGGAACCATGGCTTTTCCTCAGCAAAGTAATATGCACGACCCCAGCCTCATAGGGTGCTGTGAGAGGAAATGGACTGAAGTGTCTTGCCAAAAGGGAGCCAAGTACTACAGGGCCTGTTGCTCAATTACAGACCCTGACGGTGGAGTTCATACTGTGTAGGGTTCCTAACCATTTCTCTATCAGAGCGTCAAGTCTGTCATACTGTGGGGGCTTGTGTAGTGCTGGAAACGATGCCACTGCTGTTCCAAAGATCAGCAGGGTCACCCATAGTGGACCGTTTTCAGCGGAGCTTCCAGACTATGAAGTAGGACTGGCCACCCACTTCTGAAACAGCAGGCACTCGAAAATCCTAGACACAACATCGGAACACCGCTCAGTATAGAGCTGGAAAAGGAGGGCGCAGGACAGTGCACTGTTCCCGTCTACTGTTCAGAGTCGCTAAGAACCGTCGCTGCCACCTAACAACCTAACCAAAAGAGTGGCAGTTTGAAAACTGACAGCCGCCCCACAGGAAAAAGATGGCACTCTCCTCCCGTGAAGACTAACATCTTGGAAACTCAGGGGGTGCCTCTGAGACCAACAGAAGGCTCGTGAGTGAGCTGTAACCCCTGAAGGTACAGTGTTTTTAAGTATCTGGCTGCTAACCAAAGACTTTGAACCCACTAGCCACTAAGCAGACGACAAAGATGGGGCGGTTGACATCTGTAAAAAAAAAAAAATCACCTTGGCAACTTTATGGGGCAGTTCTACTGTGTCTTAATTTTCAGAATTGACCCAAAAGCAATAGGTTTGTTTATCCAGCAAATTCTAATTTCAGATGGGCTTCTCCCACAATTCTCCAGCTTGGAAGAAGTTATAGTCAACCAGTTCTTTAAGAGGCAGGCAAATCACTTCCTCACTCTACACACACCTCTAGTCTTCAGCCCAACCCTAATCTACTCAGGACACTTGCTCTTGCACACTGGTTGGTTCTATTCCCATCAGCTGTCCAAATTATCTTCTCTTCCAAAGTCTGGGGTCTCTTAGGAGCTGCCCTTGATTATGTCAGACCACTGCCCTCCTCCAACATAATCTTAACATCTAACAACCTGAGAACCTATATTAGCACCATGTTCAGCTCATCCCTGGCACCAAATGAATTAATGTTCACAAATAGCTTATTAGGTATCTGTACTCCCGCTTTGAAAATAAGGAAACTGAGTCTCAAGAGAGCTCACGGCTAGTAAGTTAAAGAGCTCAGATTCAAACCTCGAGCCATTATATTCCACAGCTTGTGCTGACAGAATCCTACTTTGCACAGAACGCACAGCTGGACTTCCCTCAATCAAGTGCCCAACTTATCTTGTTCATATGCTGCAATTTCTTAGGCTCTCACACTGCACATGAGCAAGTCCAAGTTCTCCTGCATGCATTATAAAACAGAAGTATCTTCAGACTCCATCCCTTACTTGCTGGTTAGAAAATATTAGATTCTTCACCTGTCAAATATGGTCACCATTAACTTCCCCTTCAAGTGTGGTTGCCGGAATGAAAACAAATTTGTAAACTAGACTTTGGCTTTCCTGCTGCAACCCTTTGCTTTCTTACTCAAGACCTGTCCCAAAGTTCAGTTCCTTCAGAAGGCTTATCAGTTTTCCGACATAAACTGAGTTGTCGCTGACATATCTTAATTCCTGCAGATTTCTTTTATTCCATTTTGGGGGAAAAACACCTTTTTTTAAAATTTTTTTTAACACAAAATACTTTAAGTCTATCTCCGCCAAGAGGCTCCTGGAGGGACAAGGGGACTACTCTAAACTTTTCTGGAAAAACTTCCACAATGGGACAGGCTCGAAGTTCTCAGCTGTGTCAGCTGGGCTCACCTGGCTTTGGCGCACAAAGCTTTGACTTCGCTCTCCTTGATGAGCTCGCAGCGCCGCAGCTGCTCGATCTGCCGGTCCAAGTCGCTGATCTCCGCCATGGCCCACCCCCCGGCGCGGGTTAGAGCCGGGGCCACCGCCCCCTCCGCACCGCACAGGGGTCTCCTGGGAAAGGCGAAGACCAGCCCGCCGATCAGAGTGTCCCGGCGAGGCGCGTGGGGTGGGCAACTCGGTTTTGGGGCCGGCCCGCCCCCCACCCCCACCTCCCCTTACATCGGCCCTCGGTGTCCCAAGGCCCTGCACCCCGCTAACTCCCGTCGAACCCCGCGAGTCCCGCGCTGGGGACGGTGGCCTAGAGGGGTCTCAGACTATTACCGCCGCTGGGACTCTGGTTCCGGTTCTAAAGCTCCTGCTTCCCTCCTTCGCTCCGCTTTGGGCCACCGCCACCTCCGCTTCTACTTCCGGCCCCGCCGCGGAAGCAAAGGAAGGCCACTTCTCCTGCGCGCCGGATGTGACGTCATACACACCCCCGCCGGCGCCGCGCCCTTAGCCCCACCTCTGAAAGCGGGGATGGAGGTGAGCCAAAGAGCCTGGCAGCGTGCAGAGGTCACTGTGGCTTTAGCTGGCTGGCGTTGAGAGGGCAATTAAAATACAGTGCCCTGCTGTTCCCGCTAAATTGAAGCTGGCCTTGTAATTCCACGTTACACGCGTTGTTTTAGCCTGCCTACCCCACGTCACCATTGCATCCAGGGTGCTTAGGATAGTATCTGGCACTTAATAGTTATGTTTGTTCAGTGGTTGCAGGAATCCCAGATCATGTCTCCGCTGGGGAAACTTTGTGGCCATTGAGGATCTCCAGTTAGAATTTCACTTTTCTCCCTTATGCCTCAGGGATTCCAAAATGGTCCCCCTGGACACACCTCAATCGCTTCCTAGAGTCTTTAGGTTTTATTCCTTTTAAGAGGAAGCTGACTCACAGATTAACTTGTTCATGGTTGCATGGTTAAGAAATTGAGATCTGAATCCAGGAAAGCCCTGTTTAATGCCAAATTACTCCTCTCACTTCCATCTCCCCCCCCACCGCCCCCAGTCATGAAATTAAGACATTTCAAACTTCCCACAGTGTCATTTGAAGTATTCTGCCTCCCTATTCTGTTTTAAAGGCCAATAGTTTACCTTCAGCAATCTCCATTTCAGCCTAAATTTTTTTAGAATGTCCTTATCATGTTCTACTGATCTTGTTTTATCACTGCCTGTGTTTTCCAGATGAGTAAGGACCAAGTCTGAATGTTCCCTAGCGATGACAGTTCAGGCTACAAATGCAAATGTGGGGTGTTAAAGACCAATTCAGAAAAATTCCTAGAAGGTTCTAGGTAAGTCAGTTCTATGAGTATTGCAAGGATTCTTCAGATGAAAAATGTTAACTTTTCTCATGCAGGGAGTCTGACAGGAAGAATGGTCTAACAAGCAAAAACAAAAGATGAGAAAAGTTGCAGGAAACTTGGGTAGTGACAAGACCAACTAGGTCTAATTGTGGTTAGGATCTTTGACAACTGCAAAGACCTATTACTACACCCCAGAGGCTGAAGAAAAGTTCAAGGTATGACATAGGATTCTTTCTGGTATCATAGACCGTGGTAGTCACCAGCAGTTTCTTAACCTGGAAGTTGAGCTGGACACCCGGACATATCTGCATTGTGGAGGATATTGCAGAATTGAAACCTCTCAAGCATTCTACAGTCCTAAAACTTAAGCTGATCCTAATCTGGTTAAAATGGGGAAAGAGTTCAAAAGTGTAGATTAAGGGGATATGGATTAATGATCCTGTTTCTGTTAATAGAACAATCTCGGAAAATAGCTCTAAGCATGAATTAGTAGCAGCATTATGTACTCAGAGCACCTATTCCTGTTGGCTGGCTCACAGCACTCAGGAAATGTCAATTTGACAGTAGAGGGTTTCTGTCACAAGGACCTTTTTGGAATTTATAGTTCCCCAAACCTCCCAAAGTCTAAACAGCACATACACTGAGCCCTGGCAGAAAGAGCTGAGCCTAAAATTCCACAAGCTCTCCATTGAGAGGTAGGGTCAATATGAAACAAAGACAGAAGATCGTTCCTCATCTTTTTCCTGCCCAGGAAGAACATAAAACCAAGGTTGTTTTGGGTTTCCCTCTCCCTCATTCCGGGGCTCTGCCACCCTGCTAAGTCTTCCCTTGCCCCATACAACAGACAAGGACAAAAGACTTCCCCCTTAAATAGTTGTTTATTGGCAGTGGGTTGGAAAAGGTGATGGAGTTAGCAAACAGACGCCACCACACACCAATATCACAAGGGCAGCAAGAGTGATGGGAAGGAGCAGCCTGAAGCCCCAGATGAGGCCCTTCTTCTCAAGTGTTAAGTCTAAGAGGGCGCTGGGGTCTGGAGTGTCGAGGGGGGTGGCCTTAGAACACCTCCACTTAGTAGGCATGGTTAGAGACGAAGAGGGACTCGCTGGCTGCGGCCCCGGCCTGACCGCTTGGGGTGTACTTTCCTTGGCAGGCGAGGCTGTTGGCCTGAGAGGGGAGAGGAGGTGGTGTGAGAAGAGCCTTCAGAATCCCACATGCCCAGGCACCCTGCCCACCTCCTGCCACACATCCTCACCAAGGCTCGCTTGATATACTCCTCCTGGGCTGCCTTCAGATTCTCCTTCTTCCCACCCCAGGCCTTCAATGCAGAGGCCTGCAGAGCTCGGCCATAGGAGAAGGTCAGGGCCCATGGCTTCAGCAGGGGGCACTTGTTGATGGCATTGAGGTTGATGGATGCCTCCTCCTCACTCTGGCCTCCAGACAGGAAGGTGATCCCTGCAGAACAAGTGAGATGGGGAGTGAGGCTGCGGTCAGAGCCCAGGGTATCTGTTAAGAGTCCCTGGCGGCCCACATGAGCCTGAGGATTATGGGTACAATTCATCCGCCTCTCAGTTGTCGAGATGAGTGTGCAGCCTCACCAGTAACAGCGGGTGGCACTGTGCGGCGCAGTGCTGTAACAGTTGCCATGGCAATCTCCTCATGAGAAAACTTCTGTGTGCAGGCATGGCCGGGGGTTACCATGTTAGGCTTCAGCAAAGTGCCTTCCAAGTAGATGTGGTGGTCACTCAGAGCCTTGTAGACAGCAGCCAGCACCTAGGGCAGAGAGACACCAGAGTGGGATGGAATAGGAACAGGGATCAGACCCAGGGTCTCTAGCCCATGTGTCCAGCCCACCATAGTGCCCAGCAGGCACCCTACCTTCTCAGTTACATACTGACAGCGCTTCAGGTCATGGTCACCATCAGGGAGGATCTCAGGCTCCACAATGGGCACAATCCCATTCTGTGGATGAGGGACAGGTCAGTGGTGAAGTCTCCCAACCAAGGGCCCCACAGCCATCAGTCCAGATCTAATCTCCATGAGGCGGCGGCCTTGGGGCTTAAGGCCTTCTGCAGATCGCAGGAGCTAGGTACTCCTCCAGATCCGCCCTCACAAATTCTCTGCCTAAAGGAGCTCTTTCCTCATTTTGCAAGGCCACCAAGTCGGAAACTACTCATAGCTGACCCTCAGAGGGTTTTCAGATGATGGAATTACATCGAAGGAGACTGCTCACCTTTCTCCTGAGAAGTAGTTGGTGGGTTCTAAGCTTATGAGAGGTGTGGCCTCTAGATTAGCATCTCAATCCCTATGGACAACCCCACCGGGGTTACCAGGCCAAGCCTACTGTCCAATTTTTGACTGGGTAACAAGAACAGCTGCCATGAGGGAAGCAGGCAACCTGGCAGATGGATGGCAGGCTAACCGACATTTGGGAACAAAATGAGATGAGAGAGGCCTCCAGGGACCCGCAGGCCCACCTGCTGGCAGATGCTGGCATAACGGGCCAGCACGTTGGCATTTTCCATGATGGCAAGAGCTGAGGGGGTGTGCTCTCCAATCTTCAGCACACAGCGCCACTTGGCAAAGTCAGCTCCGTCCTTCTTGTACTGGGCACAGCGCTCGGACAGTCCATCCAGCCCTGGAGGGAGAGGAGTCAGAATGGCCAAGGGAGGGAAGCATGAGGCTCTCCCTCCCCCTCAGCATCCAAGGTCAGAGGAAAGTGAGAGTCAAACATTTCTCACCTTGGGTGGTGGTCTCGCCATTAGTCCCTGCCAGGGGTACCACGCCCTTGTCTACCTGTGGCAAGACAAGAGGAAAAGCCGTCTAGTACTGTTCCCCCTCTAACAGCCCAAATCTGCCTCCAGCCTTACTCAAAAGCTCATGTAGCAGCTCATGGTTCCCAAGTGTTTTCATTTAGCTACAGTATCTGATCCTTGGCAACAGGATACAGATGGCTGTTTTTTATTATTGTGTTTGTGTGTGTGTGTACCGTCAAATCAGATTTGACTGGTACAGGAGGAGATTGTTCCTCCTTCTCCAGCAAAGCATCTGGAGGATTTGAACCAACAGATGGATATTTGACAGAGAACTTAATCCAAACTGGGCATTAGGAGGTTGAAGGCTCTGCTACCTACTACTGGGAGGAAAACACATTTTCCTGGGTCTGATTTCTCATCTGTAACACAGGGACAATTCACACTTCTTAGAATTGTGGAGGATTTAAAAATGCAAACAGACAACCTGTCTCCAGCTTTTCTTGTCTATTTTTGAGGGAAATCTGGGCAGACTTTACCCAAGTCTCTGACCTCCTAAACCAAAGTCTATCACCCCCACACCCGATTTACTCTTTCCTCAGGATTGCTTTTTCTGTATAGCCAGCCCAAATCTCACACCCTTGGGGCCAGCCCCCTCACCTTGATGCCCACAACACCACCCTTAGATTTGATGACTTGGGGGAAGGGACGCCCATCATCCGCCTTCTGGTAGAGGGTCTCATGGAAGAGGATGACACCCCCGATGCAGGGGTTCACACGGTCATCGGCGGTTAGCAGGAGCTGGCGGTAGAAGCGGCGGTTCTCCTCTGTGTTCTCGGTTCCAATGGACTGCAGGCGCTTGGCAATGCTTCCTGGAGGGGAACATCAAATCATAAGGGACTTGACCAGTCACCTCCAACCTGGACTCTCCTCTCCTCAGCTCGTGGCCTGCTCTTACCAGTGGACTCATCTGCGGCCAGGATGCCCTTGCCCGGAGCAACGATGCGATGGGCGATGTCAGAGAGCTCCTTCTTCTGCTCCGGAGTCAGCGCAGGGTATGGGTAGGGCATGGTGTTCTCGGTGGTGATTTCCTGGGTGAAGGAGACAGGTGTGGGAGGACTGGTTAGCTGGGCTTTCCCATGGTCTCCTAGCCAGTAACGTTCCTAGCCTGGAGGTCCAGGCACCTGTGGTGCCTACCGCCCCTGCCCCATACTTGGCAGGCGCTGAGCCATTTTCTGTCCCCAGCTTCCTATACTAAGCCTCTGGTACCTTTCCTAACTCTGTATGTTGCTGGGTGTGGCCCAGCTGAGGGTGGGGTTGTGTACTGGAGTCTGGGGTAATGGAATAGGCCAGAGCCATTGACACGTGGGTCATGCAGAAGCCGGACCCTTCTGGCTTGCACCTTGCCATGGGGTCGGGTCACTTTGCCTAGAAGCAAAACCAAACCGGAGTATTTTAGAATTAAGAGGTCAGGTACAGGGCAGAGGGACCAATCCTCTCATCCAAAAGGGCCAAAGATAGAAAGGTCAGTGCTTGAATGTACACAACACAGGGGCCATATGTGAGTTAAGAACTCGGCTCTCCTCACTGCCATTAGGGTGCTCCTTCCAGTCAACTCTAACCCTGGGGTAGTCCCAGGCTCAAGGACATCCCAAGGTCAACACCCTACACCACCCCCATTAGGGATATTAGTGTTAAGAAAAAGGAAACGGGTGATTAGAGGCCCAGGAAAAGGCAGCAGAACCAGCCGGGCCAGGTGGAGGAAAGGGGAAGGTTTGTCGCTCTCATTGCTCATACAGGGAAACAGAACGTGGGGAGAGGCAAGGGCCCCACCCCTTCCCGCGAAAATACTCCTGTCTGCTCAAGCGGCCGCAGCTGTTCCAGGCTCGGAATCAAGGTCATCCGATAAGGAAAAGATAGGATAAGTATTAATGGGTAAGCTGCCGCGGCCTAAGGGTTTCCCCTAATCGCCTGGGGAGCCCCTTCTCCAGGGAGGACACAAGCCCTGCTTTACAGAAGGGGAACGCTGAGGGGGCAAACGGGATGGCCAGGACGCCTCGCTGCCTATCGGAATCTTTGCAGAGGTGAAGGGGCCTCAGTGCTTTTGCACCTGTGGCCCGCGCAAGAGAGGAGGGCGATGGCCCTCCACCTCCTCCCGCTTCCCCGCTTCCTCCCCCGCCATGACTCAGCGCCGAGGCGAAGCGTTGCGCAGCACGGCAGGGAGAAGGTGCGGAAGGCTGGCGGGGAGGTCTGTGTCGCGAGCAGGGGTGCGAGCGCGCCGAGGGGAGGCTATCGGAGTGGGGGGGCTCTCGGAACTGACGTTCCCCGGCCTCGGTCCCAGACCCTCTCTCCCGCTCTGATCGGACCACCGCACGTGGCCAGGGGCGCTCACCTGGGCGCTCACGGAGGAGGGGGCGCGCTCGGAGGCGGCGGACGGTGGTGGGCTGGGGGGAGGAACGCGACAGTCGTCCCAGCTCCGGGTTCTGCAGCGCGTTCGGAAGGAACGCAGCCTATTCAGCGCGAGGGGGCGGAGCCTGCCGCCAGGGGGGCGGGACCAGGCCCTTTAAAGGGACCGCATCACCCTCAGCCGGGTTTTTTTCCTTTACGTGGGGGCGGGGCGACGCCCAGCGTCCAATTGCAGCCGCCGAACTCGGGCTGAAGCCACGCCAGAGGGAAGCCCAGAGACGGGGCGGGCGGGATCCAGCCGGCGGGAACCCGATCCCTCCCCTACCCCGCGGCGCTCGGACGTGACTGGGGCCACATCCCGCGGGTCGCCCGATCCCTCCTCTCCCCTCCTCCCTACGCGGCGCCATGACTCAGCCCGACTTTTAGCAATTGAGATGGGAGCGGGAGGAAAGGCGGAGGGAGCCGGGGGGTTGGGAGCGCCAAGAAGATTCTAGAAAGATGAAGGCTCAGCTTTCCCTACCGGGCGCGCTTAAGACTCCCAGCCTGCGTTTAAGACGCCGTGTGTCACATTGAAACGGAACCGAGCGGCGGCTTCTGCGGCGCGCCCCCTGCACCCAGGTCGGCGCCGCCGCCCTGTGCCCGGGTTACCCGCCCAGGCACGCGCGAGGCCGTCACCTCGCCTCTGCCCGGCGCGCCCCACGTCCGGGTCCGACCTGGGCAGCCGCGCACGCGCACTGAGCCAGGCTCTCTAAGCCCTGCTCCCTGCGCCCTTCACTGGCTGCCGCTCGGACCCAGCCAGCCTTTGAGTGTACCAAATTCCCTTAGCCTTAATGCCCTCTTCGAAATAAAATCCTAATCCTCTGCGATCACTCCTTAACATCTTCTCCCCTGCCAGGCCTCCCTGATCCGACTCCCTCGACCCAATCCCCAGTCTGGTTCCTTCCAGGGCCCACCTGCACGGAGGCTGGAGGAGGTGGCGGCGGGGCCTGGTCTGCAGCGCGAGTGCGCCAGGCTGCCCCGGGGCTGGGTTATAAGGCTGCTCTGGCCCTCCCCCACTCACGTCCCGACCTTCTCCCGTGACCCCTGCCCTTTTCCCGCCACCGATCCGCTGGCAGGGACCTATATTTAGGGAAACCTGAAGCCCCTGACATTCATGCCAGCTTGGGGCTCAGAGTGGAGCTGGGTGAGGGGAAAACGAGAGGAACCTGCTCTGGGCGGGGGTGAGGGGAGGACTGGGCCCTGTCCACTCACCAGCACCTCAGAGGAAATGTCTTCCTTGGAAATCCAGCATGAAGACCCGGGTCGGGGGAAATCAGCTTTCCAGCAGAGCTCTGTAGGGAGGGAAGGAGAGGTCTGTGCCCTTGGGTGGCGTGGTTCTCCCTTTCTCCTCTGCCCCCGCCCCGCCCCCTCCTGCGATGAGTTCCCCTGCTCCCCAGACTACAGACCTGGAGTGGTTGTGGTGATTTTTCGGTCCCCATTTCCTTTGAGGCAGGCAGAGCCTCAAAATAACCAAGGTGCAGGGGCAAGGCTGAGGTTGGGGAACCCTTCCATCCAGATGCTCCAGTTCCACGGTCCTCCTGTAACACTGTCTGTGGTGGGCAGCACCCCCCATGCTCACCTTCATATCTCTACAGTTTACTCAGAGAGATGAAGAGGGCAGAGGTAACTGCCAGACAGCACTAGCCTTTCTCTCTCTCTGCCTTCCAAAGGGGCTGCAGTCCTGCTGGCTGGGGGCAATCTGGATCCTGCCCTGCAGGAAGCCAAGCCCTCCTCCGCTGGTTCCAAGGCCAGTGAGCTGAGCAGGCCATCTGTGATTCTGCTGGCCTAGACAAAGGTGTCTGGAAGCACCCTAGGAAGGAGGACACGTTGGGCCCCCAGGGTGCTGGCCACTCCCCAGAGAGCAGGGACCCTGGGTCCTCATCGGAGCTTGATCTCAAAGCAGAGACAGTTGAGGCTCTGGCAGTCAGGAAGCTGGCAGGCACAGGCACAGTCACAGAGTGGGCAGCAGTGGGGGCAGTGAGGGGCCCAGCCCTAGGAGAGAAGAGAAAGGGTGAGGGAGGGAGGGACCTGGAGCCATTTTCATCTTAGGACAGAAAGGCCCAGAAATCTCATTGTCCCAGTGAAAACAGGGGACCATGCTCTGGGAACAAAGCAATTCCCTGCACTGTTGAGAAACCAGCAATAAGGCAATGTTCTGAACTAAGTTCAAGAACTGGAAAAAATTATTCAGGATTTCTATTTTTCCTTTTTAAAAAAATTTTTTATTATTATTTTTGTGTGAGTGTACCGTTAAATCCCTCCTTCCCCAGCAGAGCATCTAGGTGGATTTGAACCAGCCGCCTCTGGGATTGTAGTTGCAGCTCCTTACCACTAGGCCACCAGAGCTCCCCTATTTTTCCTTTTTTTATAGATGATGAGACTTCAGACCAAAGTCCTGGGCCCAACCTTAGCGTTGAGGTGTTCTCCTGTCTAGTTCAAACCTTGCCTCATGGCCCTTCTCATTATGCAATTAAGTTAACAGATGTAGAGATTTTCTTTCCAAATTTCAGTTTTCTTTCTATCCTGAAAATACCCGGTTAGGATCTTTTTAATCCTTAGTATGCAAAATTCACTGCAGGATCTCACTCATTCATTTCCTCATCCAGCTTGGCAACAATCATTTCTGAGTATCTATTCTGTGCAAGGCATAAACTGCATTCACAAATTATTAGAATAATCGAGGGAAGCCAAATATCAAATTTAATAATAGTAGACCAAATGCTGTATCGGGAAATGAGGGAGGCTTAATAGAAGCTGAAGGTCACCTTGTGACATTGGGGCGTTCCTTAGGAGTCAACATTGTTCTTAGTTTGTATCAAATGAATCCTTCCCTCTTGAGAGTAACATAAAGAGGAACTTGGCCTTACCTGTAAAAGATTTCACCATATCCTTTGTTTTGTACTTCCTTGTGATTCTAAATACATACTCAGAGAAGCATGGCTTGAGGTCTTCAGTCGAGAACTGCTGACCCCCTGTTTTATGCTCTCTGCTCTATCTCATTCCTGGTTGTTTGTCTCTTTATTATAAAATTATTCTATTCTTTGGGACCCTCGGTCTGCAACAAATAATCTTTTCATATTTAAAAATTAAACAAAAAACCGCTATCTCTTTTAATTACAGGAATCCAGAGCAGTGGATCTCTTAAAAAAAAAAAAAAGAACTAGAGAATAATTTACCCAAGAGAACACAACTAAGGAATGATGGAACTGAGATGGAGTTGGACCTGAGTCTGGATGCTTCCAGTTCTGTGAGCACTCTCAACCAGACTGTGGCTCCCTTCCTGGCCTTCTATTTAGACTAGGCTTTGCTTTAAAATTTAGCATACAGTGTATGTGATTAGCAGAAATCGCACCGCCACTTCCCTGCATTGGGAGTCTGACAAGTCCACATATCATCTTAAAAATGCAGTTTTTTCCTGACCTTTCAAACTGGCCAACCAGCTATTTCTGGAAGTTTCTTCAACATCTACACTCACTCACTGCTGTGCCTCTACTAGGTGCCCAAGGCTGTAAATCACAGAAGAGATTGCTCATCTTTCTCCCGTGGAGCCCCTGGTGGGTTCGAACGCCAGAGGCGCAACCTTTGTGTCAGCAGCTCAGCTCTCTACCACTCTGCCACCAGAGTACCCTACACCCTGCATAAAAATCGCCGTGGAATCGGAACTGACTCAGAGCTGAGCCTCCAGCAGGTTGCAAGGCTGTAAATGGCATGGGAGGAGACTGTCCATTTTTGTCCCATGGAGCTGCTGGTGGGAGTCCAACCCCTAGAGATGTGTGTTACTTGGGTTAGCAACACAACTCACTGTGAACTACATCACTGAAACTCCCCTAAACTAGGAATTCAACTAATACAGACAGGTTCAGATGTACCTTCCTGAACTCCTTACTTCCAATCCCCATTTTAGCTGAAAGAACTGGCAGGTGTCATACACATGCAGAAGCAAAAAGACTGACTGCTATGTGATC